GAAGTGCCGTTGCACCCGCCAACGTCCAGCGGGCCTCTGTTCTGGGCGGCTGGAGGCAGGATGGGCCGGAAGGTGACCGTAGCCACCTGTGCGCTCAACCAGTGGGCTCTGGACTTCGAGGGCAATTTGCAAAGGATTTTAAAAAGTGAGTCTGGAGGCGGCCTGGGACGGGAGGGGGGCGAACGTCCTTCCTTGCTTAGTGGCGCTGGCCTGTGACGCACGCACAGCCTGACCTTGTGTAAACGTGCAGCCACGGGCGTGAGGACAGATAAGATCATAGATAATGACTGCTCTGTACGCATCTCATCAGAGCACAAACAAATCTATCAGAGTTGTGTTGAAGAGAGGCTGACTCTGGTGGCCAGAGCTTGGCTCCACCCAGCTGACCTCTCCTTCAGGCGTGTTGGAAGCTGCTGCACAAACCCAGGTGGGTGATGGTATCTGGCTCTGGTACCACAGCAGGGTTGTAATCCTTCAACTCCTCCCATTAGCTGGTCTTGGGCATCTACTTGTTAATCAGCTACCAGGGTGTGACTTCTCCTCCTTCCCTGTGGTGCCAAGGGTCAGTCCTGCAGGCCCTCCCTGTTTTTCATTTCCTGCAGGTAAAAACAGATGCTCGCCTCTGCTGCTCAACTGTCAACAAGAGGACTGGATACATGGGGCCAGGGAGATCACAGAGAATTTTTATTTGTTTTTATTGTACCTACTGCAGCAGTATGTTTTGTCCGCCTTTGATGTGTGGGTACTGAAATTGCCCCTCTCTCTTTACGCACATAGGTATTGAAATTGCCAAAAGCAGAGGAGCAAGATACAGGCTTGGGCCAGAGCTGGAAATATGGTGAGTCCAGACACACAAACACCCAGGGGTAAGCGAGCAGTGCTATCTGCATCTGCTTGCCTTAGCTGAAAGGGCAAGGACGAAGGGGACAGTATTGAGAGCTGTGAACATGCCAAGCCCATTCAGAGGCTACCAGCAGCCTGAGTACACTTGGTTGATGCCTCGAATCCCTGAGATAGAGCAGGCCCAGGAAGGCTGATAATTCTAGATGCCTATGTTGAGTAGTGAGAGGATGCGAAGTTTTACCAGGGACTGATTTCAAAAGCTAGACTGGGGCCAGCAGTTAGTGTAATGGCTATGTCGCTGGATTCCCATGTTGTCTACCGTGGTTCAAGTTACGGACCTGGTGGCTTAAACTCACTCCGGGCACGTGTGTATGCTTGCACAAGATCCTGAGAGGAGAATGGAGGAGAAGGGATTGCAGTGTGGCCATCCCCCCTGGGGGATGATTTCTCGCTCTCTGTCTCTCTCTGTCTCTCTGGCAAGCACGTGTGCCTTATAGCAAAAACCTCTCAAAAAAAAAAAAAAAGCTGGGCTGCTTCTGTGTTACTATTTCCCTTCTGCTGTGGTCTGAGTGTTTGTGTCCTCCCACAAATGCAACCTAACCCTCAAAGTGATGGTATTAAGAGAGGGGGCCTTTGGGAGGTGATTAGGCCACAAGGGTGCAGCCCCCATAAAGGGGATTAGTGACTTTCCGGCCAGCCCGTTTGTCCCTTATACCAAAAACCCCAAAAAAAAAAAAAAAAAGCTGGGCTGCTTCTGTGTTACTATTTCCCTTCTGCTGTGGTCTGAGTGTTTGTGTCCTCCCACAAATGCAACCTAACCCTCAAAGTGATGGTATTAAGAGAGGGGGCCTTTGGGAGGTGATTAGGCCACAAGGGTGCAGCCCCCATAAAGGGGATTAGTGACTTTATGGAAGAGGCCCAAAGGAGCTTGTCTGCTCCTTCCGCCATGTGAGGCTACATAGAATATACTGTCTTTGAGGCAGAGGCTGGGCCCTCACCAGGCACCAAATCTGTGATGCCTTGATCTTCAACTTCTCAGCTTCAGACCTCAGAGCAGTATCTTTCTGTTGTTCATAAATTGTCCACTGTAAGGCATTTTGTTATAGCAGCCTAAGAAGACTGAGATACCTTCCCAATTTTCATTTTTTCATATTTGGCCTTGAAAAGTTTTCATTCAAGGATCAGCAGGTGGTGTAGTGGTTACATTGCTGGACTCCCACATGTTCGGCCACGGTTCAAGTCCTGGACTCAATGGCTTGAAAATCCCTCCAGGTGCATGTGCATTGCATGCCCAAGATCCTGGGAGGAGAATAGAGGATAAGGGATTGGACTTGTCGCTGTCCCCCCCTCATTATTTGTCCCCTACCTTAGTTTGCTCTTGTTTCTAGACTCAGAGTAAGTAGGCAGTCTTTTTCCAGAGGTTTCTAAATTACTCCTGAGATAGCTTTCTCTGTAAGATAAAGCCCTTCCCTTCTCTAAAGATTTTGGGCATGCACACACACACACCTGGCGTGAGTTTCAAGCCTCCAAGTCTGGGAATCAAACTACAGTCAGCCACATGGTAATCCATAGAAAGGATGTTGATTTTGCATCTTAGAATCTTGACTTCAAGTAGCGCTGTTTCTCCCAAGAGCATTTACAGCCTTCATTTAATTCATTCTTTAAGAAATTCTCACCTAACTGACAGGGGCAATGAGATTCCAGGGTACCTGAGGTCTTCTAGCTTCTATTCCTGAGCTCTAGGCTTGATGTTTCAGTCTGCCCTCTGTGGCTAAACATGTGCATACCTGTCACTGGGTGATTTATAGGAACAGAGGCTTATTCAGTTCAGTTTGGAGTCCCAAGGTCAAGGGGCTGCATCAGGTGAATCTTCTTGCTGATGGATGACATGGTAGGTATTACATGGTGAAACAGAATAAGCATGCATCCATGTCTCTGTCTCATTCTCTCTGTTTATAAACTCCCAGGGTTCAGTCATGGAGGGGCCTCACCCTAATGGCCTAACTATCTCCCAAAGCCCTACCTTGCAACACCATGATTGGATTAAGTGTTTGCTCTCTTATTGCCCTTACAATGGCTCACCAAATTTTCACACATGAATTTTAGGAGAACACATTCAAATCCCAGCACTTGATCTTTATGTTCTGTCTGTTTCTTGCCCCCAGAAGAGTTGTAATAGATAGCCCAGTTCTTTTAACCTCATTACTGCCTAGATACTTAGAGTTTAGGTCTTCGTATTTTTTTCTGACCTTTTCTTCCCCCTTTATAAGAGTCACATACACCTTCCGCTTTCTAAATCTGGATCTATGATTTTTAAAAGGGGAGAATTTTTAACTAAAGGACCCCAGAATGATATCTTCCCATCAGATAGTTTACAGCATGCTCAGCAGGTGGTCATTCAATATTTGCAACACTTCACAAAGAGGAAACTGAGGCAGAAGAGGAGCTAAGTCACTTTCCTAAGCCTCTCTTCTTCATAGACCGAGTTCAGCTCCAACCTCACATGATGCACCTGACTGAGAAGGAGAGCCAGTGATCGGAGTGTGCTCACTTGTAGATCTAGAGGCCCTCATCTAGGAACGCCAGCTGTTTTCTTAGAGCCAAGTTTGCAGACTTTGGAATGGAAAGCTGCCATTTGATTGGGTCCTGGGCACTTCCTGATTAGCCTCTTTATAAATTGTCTCTCCAGCTGCTTGGCCAACTGAGGGATGAGAGGTCACTAGTAGCTGGATGCCAGGCAGCAGGGCATCTGACATTGCAATGGTATTTGGTATCCCACATGGGCCTGGGAGCTCTTTGGGAAAGAAAACCCATGGAATAGGAATCTGCTGGAGAGGAGACATCTTAGGCTTGTTCCATTACTGGGGCATCTCCTTCATACCTTTTTCATCTGAGAAGCAGGACTTTTCTCAAACCAGAACCAAAGGCAGGGAAGAATCTTCTTCCAGGCATTAAAAATGGCAAATGGCTGGGACCAGCATTTTGGCTATGTTGCTGGACTCCCATGTAGTCAACTGTGGTTCGAGTCGCAGATCCGGTGTCTTAAACTCACACCAGGTGCATGTGCGTGTGTTCCCAAGATCCCAAGAGGAGAATGGAGGAGAAGGGATTGTGGCAGGGCCATCCCCCGCCCCAGGGGGTGATTTCTTGCTTTCTCTCTGTCTTTCTGGTGATCGCACATGCCCTATAGCAAAAACCTCTCAAAAAAACAAAACAAAACAAATGGCAAATGGTAGTTTTGAGGTTTATGTCGGTGTGTGCAATGTTTGCTTAGTATTTTGAAGTATTCCTTCTGGGCTGCTGCATAGTAGAAAGGAAAACTTTTCGAAGACTTAAAGGTGTTTTGCAAGTATTCTTTTACTGCTGGAAACTTCATTTTATTATTAGAACCCCCTATGCTAAGAAATTGCTCTCAAGCCAGTCTTCACCTTGTTTATTCATCCATTCATTCATTCCTAGAGAGAGAGAGAAGCAAAACAGCCAATCCCCACTGGCTTTCCATGCTGCAGTTCACCCTTAGTCTCAGCTGGCCTGGATCACAGGCACATGTGTACCCTGCATGTCCAGGGAACCCTGGGACACAAACTCAGGATCTTTCCCATGTGATTCCAATTGCATTGGTGCTGCACCATCACCTGGCCCCAGTATTCACATTTTTGACATCATGTAGCATCAAATTACAGTTACAATAGTCCCTGGGCTGTTGTAACAAAGTACCACAGACAAGGGGGTTTTAAACAGTCTTATGGTCTAGAAGATCTCAAGTCCAAAAGCAGGTTATCAGCAGTACTGTGCTCTCTCAAGGCTCCAGGGAAGAATTCTTTCTGCTGCTTTTAACTTCTGTGAGCTCCAGGTGGTCCTTGACTGTGGCTGCCTCACTATGGTCTCTGCCTCTGTTGTACGTAGCCTTCCCACTTCTCCAGGTCATCTCTTCTGCCTCTTGTAAGGACACTTGGCACTGGCTTTAGCACCCACCTTCAAAATCCAGCATAGTCTCGGGAACCAGCAGTTAGCGTAATGGCTATGTCGCTGGACTCCCACGTAGTCGACCGCGGTTCGTGTCCTGGACCCGGTGGCTTAAAACTCACGCCGGGCGCGTGTTCGTGCGTGCCCAAGATCCCGAGAGGAGAATGGAGGAGAAGGGATTGCGGCGTGACCATCCCCCCTGGGGGGTGATTTCTCGCTTTCTGTCTCTATGTCTCTCTCTGTCTGTCTGGCGAGCGCACGCGCCCTACAGTGAAAATCTCTCAAAAAAAAAAAAAATCCAGCATAGTCTCATCTCAAGATACTTATTTACATCGACACTCTTTTTTTTTTTTAAAAAAAAGAGTTATTTAAATGTATTTATTTATTTTAATTTGATGAGGGGGCGGGGAGAAAAGGCAAGCAAGCCACCAGGTCTGGGACCTGAGCCGCGGCTGACCATGTGGGAGTCCAGCAACCTTAACCACCATGCTACCCACCGGCCCCAACAAAGACTCTTTTCTAAAAGAATTAGAATGTGGACATTGCATTCAGCCTCCTACCAGCATCTATGGTGAGATACTCAAAGGTAGCTGTGAGTGTGGAATTTGGAATGTTTACTAATGATCTTACTTTCCTAAAGAATGTGTTTCTGTCAAGCATTGTTTCTTTCAACTCCTTTCCTTGTAATCAGTGTAATTGTGTCCACATGAAAGGTTAAAAAAGAATTGTAAAGGTAGGCATTATTAAATTTTTTTTGGATAGGTTTTTGCTATAGGGTGCGTGCGCTCACCAGAAAGACAGAGACAGAGCGACAGAAAGCAAGAAATCACCCCCCAGGTGGATGGCCACACTGCAATCCCTTCTCCATTCTCCTCTCGGGATCTTGGGCATGCACGCACACCCGCCCGGCGTGAGTCTCAAGCCACTGAGTCCGGGACACGAACCATGGTCGACTACGTGGGAGTCCAGCGACATAACCATTACACTAACTGCTGGTCCCGATGTGAGAATTTTTCGTAGTAACTATTGGGTTGTCAGAAAACTCATGATGTATTTTTCTTTTTCTTTCTTTTTTTTTTTTAGGGGGGTAGATTTTTTTTACTTTAGAATGTATGTGCTTGCCAGAGAGAAAGAAAGCAAGAAATCACCTCCCAGAGGTATGACCATGCCTCAGTCCCTTCTCTTCTATTCTCCTCTAAAGTTTTTGGGCACACTCACATACACACTCAGCGTGAGTTTCAAGCCTCCAGGCCTAGGAATCGAACCGTAGTCAGCTATATGGTAGTCCAGTGATGTAACCATTATGCCATCTGCTGGTCCCAATGATGTATTTTTTATACAAAAATGTATCATGACTATTCAGACAGTCCAACAAAAACTAAGAGAAAGGGACAGGAGCCCAGTGTTTCCTAATTTCTAGTAAAATGTATTGTTTTCTGTCACAGTGGTTCTAACTTTGGCTGCCCAGTTGAATCACCTGGGAGGCTTTGAAGAAACAGTCATACCTAGGCACAGCCTGACTCGATTGATCTACAGGTTCTTGACCTCTGGGCTCGCTTGCATTTCTCTCTGCAGTGGCTACGGATGTTGGGATCACTTTTACGAGTCGGACACCCTGTTGCATTCACTTCAGGTCCTGGCTGCCCTCCTGGAATCTCCAGTCACTCAGGATATCATCTGCGACGTGGGGATGTAAGTGCCAAGGTGAACGTGTAGAAGGGCAAGCTCAGAAAAATGGCAAGTCCAAGGACACGATGACCCAGCACCATCCTACAGTCAGGGATATGGAATGTGCACAGGTCGAAAGATACAAAAACACCTCTATTGGAAAATGGGTTTGTTCTAGCTCCGCCCCACAGCCACCCAGTATCCCTCACAGAGGCAGCTCTTGAAAGCATTTTTCATTAGTTCTTTCTGGAAGCTTCTTTGCATACATGAACACACCTTGTACAATCAGGAGCACAGTGTTCATCCCATCATAGGCAGAGAGCTTCAGTCACCTCATGGCGAGTTTCGGGATGGTTCCACATCACTCCACATTGTTCCACATGACATAGGCCTCATGGGTGCAATGCCCCATGGTGGGACTCTGGCCGTTCTATGTGGTATGTGTCTGTGCCACACTTGGCATAGCGAGGCCCCCAGCGAAGAGCTTTCCATCCTGTTGTTTATCTCCTTCAGCTCTGCTGTAACTGGCATGCTATGGTGCCTTTACTTTCTGTTTTCTTAGCATTTGCCTGGTGTATATTCTCCTGCCCCTTCACGTTGGACCTTGCTGTCACATTTGGTCCATAGACTCTCTGTTAAGCAATGCATAGATGGGATTTTTAATCTGATCTCTTCATATTGGTGACAGTTTTGATATTGTGGACTGTATTAATTTTTTGTTGCTGCTATGACAAATTTCTACAAGCACAAAACATAAAAGTAATAACATTTTTATCAGATTGCTCTGGAAGTGATGTGAATGAACAAGTCTAGCCTTGTGGAGGATCTGGAGAGGATCTGAGTCCTTGCCTTGCCCAACTTCTAGAGGCTGACCTCTGCTTCTCTGCCCTCCTTCTCATATGGACCCTTGTGATTATGTTGGGCTGCTGACACAGCCCGGGATAATCTCCCCATGTCAAGGTCTTTATTTCATCATCGCTGTCAAGTCCCTTTTACCATATAACGTAACTTCACGGGCTCCAGGAATTACAATGTGGTATCTTAGAGAGGGCCATGATTCAGCCAACCAAGGTCACTTGATTAAATTTCAGAATCACAAGGTTTTCTTTTTATTTTCCATATAATTTTTAAAATTTTTAGTTGTTATTATTATTATTAAATTTGCTATAGGACAAGTATGCTCACCTGAGAGAGACAGAGAGACAGAGAGAGAGAGAGAGTGAAAGTGAGAAAGCAATCCACCACATCCAGTATTCGAACCATAGTCAGCCATGTGAGAATCTAGCACCTTATCCACCAGGCCACCTGTCAGTCCCAGTCACTAGTTTTTAATTTTTGTTTTCTTTTTTTATTTTACTTCTGTTGTTTTTTTTTTTCTACCTCCCCCCAACATCTTCTCTGCTGGCTTGGAATTTATAATTTATGTTTTTTCTTGGGCGGGGGTTTACCATAGGGCTTGTGCACTCACCAGAAAGACAGAGAGAGACAGAGAGACAGAAAGTGAGAAATCACTCATCCGGGGGATGGCCACAGAACAATCCCTTCTCCTCCATTCTCCTCTCAGGATCTTAGGCACGCACGCACATGCACCCAGTGTGAGTTTAAGCCACCGGGTCCAGGACTCGAACCATAGTCGATGACATGGGCGTCCAGCAACATAGCCATTACGCCAACTGCTGGTCCCTATAATCT